TGAACATAGGCCTCATCTAACAATTGCCAAAAATACGGTCCTGACCTATCTGCATCCATTAATCATTAATAGAAAATTTTGTTTAATTACGTGAAATTCATAATAAATTAAAAAAAAAACCACTATAAAATATAACTGATATCTTTTATTACTTTTATTATTTATTGTCGAAAATAATAAAAAAGTAGTTCCTGAATTGACAGTACTACAGTGATTTGTGGGTACGAGGTTTATTTCAGGCATATCTGACTTTCAGTTAAAGATGTTTATTTGAGTGGTGGCGGATAAGAGTGTCCTCATGTCGTCGTTTTGAGACACCTTAAGAAGCCAGAGGGAAATAAAACAGGCGATGTGCAGCAGCATCTTTCTGGTTAAAATAATAAAAAACTGCTACCAGCAGTCATAAATGAATGAATTGTGAGTAATGAATCAATGATTACGAAAGACAAATTCTTATTAGGACTATAGATCTTAAAAATAATTTTAACGTCAAATATATCGTTCCATTGTATTTGTGATATACTGCATACCATATTTTTATTTTAATAATTACCAATTTTTTTTAAACAAACGCCTACACAAATGTCGAAGCTGAATAAATTAAATTACGAATTGAATTTCAACTTTAAGTTTTATTTAGCGTTTTGTTTTAATTTTGAGCAATCAATTTAAACTTTTAATTTTATTCTCATGCTTGGAGTTTATGAGTCTTTGCATCATGGTGTATCGTATGGCGAGTGTGAAGAATCGGAGACCCTTTTTACTGGAAATAGGCATTTCATCTTAGTCCTTGGGGTGACAACGCATTTACATTTTGATATTTATTCAAGAATAGATTTAAATAGGCCACAGTATCCATTTACCATCAGGTGGATTGTGTGCTCGTTAGCCACCCTTATTCCAATAAAAAGTTCATACTATATGAATAGTATATTAGTTATGTTGATCGAATGGCTTTTAATAAACTTTTATAAAATTTCTATAACCTCTATCGGATTTAAGAGCTCACTGTGTTATTAACTTGCTTTCTTCTGTTTTAATTTTATATTTATTTTATCTGTTCTGTAAAAATTTTACAATCGACTTTACCTAACTTTCCGATGATTTAGAGACTTGAAACTTTAAATAAAACTCACAACTGGATGACAATGCAATATGAATTCATTTTATTGTCTGTCTGTCTGTTTGTTTATCTATACAAATTTTGCGATCGATTAAAAACTTAAATCCCGATGAGCTAGAAATTTGAAACTTTAAACCTAGCTCATTTAAACGTGGTAAAAATGATCGTCAATTTGAATTATATTGAATTATATTGGTTTCAATAGAGAAAAATTTTTATAAAAACCTTTTTTAACATCTCCTTTTAATGCGTACGTTAGTCGCGGGTGGATCAGTGCTCGAAGTAAATGTTAATCCACACGGCGAATGTGTACCGATCCGCTAACGATGACATCTCTATGAATTATGGCGATCTAATCAAGACGGCATTTCCCTTTGAATTTTTGTCTAAAAATATTAGCATTATTGTATCATATTATTGAATAAAACAAAGGTTTTACTTTTGAATAATTTTAAATTCCATTCAACTTATTATAAGTATATAAATTTTATGTAAATTAATTGCTTGGATGTTTGGTTTAATGCCTTAATTATTTATTCTTTAATATTTATTATTGACATCTCCGTGGCGCAGTGGCTTAGCAATGAGTTCAAAATTCATCAATATCGGTTAAGCCGTTTTTGAGTTTTAGCGAGACTAACGGAGAGCAATTGGTTTTTATGTATAGAGATATGTAATTATCTCGTACCATCGATAAATTATTTTACATATAGCATTGATTATTGACCTAATAAGGTCAATAATCAATAATAAGGCTGCCAGAAATATATATATATATATATATATATATACATATAAAATAAAAAATAATGCGTGATTGTCGTGGAAAACTCGGTTGGAACGAAGTTCCTTTCGTAGTATATTATTATTGATAAACGTATTATATTATTGATTAACAAATACAAATAAATGAATTACTAGCTTCTATTAAAATTGAGCGTAATTTAAAATAAAATAATTTTGCTTTTATATTATTCCATTTCCCTTCACCATAGCCAAGGCCGTCTACACTACGTCAGAAGGGGTCGTGGCGGAAAAATCTTACACTTTTTGTCGCCTAGTCCCGATCCGCCAAATCCGAACCGTCCGATAAGGAACTTCGTTCCAAAAAATACTCAACTTTTCACAAAAACTACTTAGTAAAACATTATTAAAACACATTTTTCATTGGTATCATTTAGTTAGTGACAAAACGAGCACATAGCCCACCTGGTAGTAAGTGGCTACTGTAACCACATGCAAACAACTTCAAGAAGCAGGGTACAGATACTTTGTCACCCCTGAGTACTAAGATGGAATGCTTCACAGCATCTAATTGTATTTAGCTTGCTCCCTTACCCTTCAACCAGACCAGAAGTTTACAAAAATGCGTCTAATATGCTTTGAAATAAAATTCAATATCGTTACTTCTTACTTCAGTTTGGATCTTGCAAGAATTCTAAATTCAAAACACTTCAAGTATTTCGCAACTCACCACTTGGACGTTTAAAATAAATAAATGAGTAAAGACAGGCAGCAACACAGCTTGATGTGGGTTCACGATATGTTATCATTCTTTCCTTTTTTGAGTGAAGTCAAGAAATGAAAGAAGTAGTATTTATATACATCCGTGTGATAAAAGATGCAAGTTTTATTTTTGTTAAATTACCATTTGTAATGCTGTAATAAGTTCGAAGTTCCTAGTTGTTTTTTTTTTATAATACTGAAGACGTTGATGTTTTTTGTACGTGGTAGAGTCATGCTGCAGCTATATTAATAGCATAATTGTAGCACGATTGGGTCGGTTCGACAGGGGAAGGACCGGCGTAAAATAGCAGCTTAATGCTGCTGTGTTTCGTCGTATGGTGAGTGTAGAGAACCGGAGACCCTTTTTACTGGAAAAGAGGCATTCTATCTTAGTTCTCATGGCTGACAACGCATATGCATTTTAATTCACAAATGAACATAGATGTAGATGTCTATGGGCCACATCAACCACTTACCATCAGGTGGACTGTGTGCTTGTTTGTCACCCTTGTTCTATAAAAAAAGACAAATGAACTTAGAGAGTACCTCATAGTAAGTGGCTTCTCCAGTCCATGGACACCTGCAGCTATCTTTAAACAAAGCTACAGATACGTAGTCATATCTGAGCATTAAGATGGAATGCCTCACAGCCTGTGAATATACTACGCTCTATGCAGTTTAGATCGGAACACAGCAGTGCAAACATTATTTGACGAAAGAAATAAAAAAATAACATAAGTCAAACTTTTAAGATTCATAGACTGCGATTTTTCTGTTTTAACACGTTTTATATAAGCTTGTCCTATGTATCTCTGTATGTATGTAAGAAAATATAGAATTTTATAATTTAGTTTTCATCCCCTTCTGACGTGAGAGATATCTAAATAATCTTAAATTTTACAAACGCATTATGGACAATAATTTCATGACTGTATTCTCCATAGGATCATTACAGTACATAATTAATGCTTGTTAAGTTTTTTTAATCTCTTATAATATTATTAAAAAGTTGAATGAAATTGAGATGAGGAATTCCTTAATGTTTTTATTTTTGCTATCAGAATACATTCCGACTTAATACTAGACTAGTCGACACGCGCGGCTTCGTTCGCGTGAAATTCGGGTAATGTCTAAATTATTTCATTGTCTTCCAAAATGTTACAAACGAAAAGAATTACTTGCAAAATACGCCTAATAATTATATCGCCATTTAATTTTTTTTTGAAAACATAGTTTATAGCTATGCAAGGAAAGTAGCAATGTAGTTTAGTTATTAACAAATTCTATATTTATGGAACAAAATTCTTATATCCGCGATTTGTTATGTTGGTTTGGTGTAAAAAAGATACTTACAAATTTTTGACCCCAGAGGTGACGCTGTGGTGGAGTTGTAACCGACGAGTGTGTATGCGTAGATATGAATATGCATGTGAAAGAAGCGACAGAGGTTTGTCAGGATCGTGCTAAATGGAAGTCTGTAGTCACGGCTTACCCCTCTTGGTGACAGGCGTGACGGTTTATGTACGTATGTATGTAAGAAATATAACGGGATGATACTAATAGTCTGAACGATAATTTTAGACTATATATATATTCTATATTAAAAAAAGACTTTTTTATTGTTTGAATTATTTTACATAATCTAAGTTATGCTAAGTAATAATAGTATGAAGATAAATTTAATATAACCGAATTTAATTTTAATAATAATATAATGTGAACGTATTGAACAGAGTCTAAAATGTCATGTTAAGTAACGAAGTACAGATCTGCACTTTTATAATGATTTGCGTTATATAAGAAAGTAAAAGCTATATTAAACAGTTTCACCTCTCTCTCTCTTTCTCTCCATGAACTGGTACAACTCACCCTATCAAGCGAGTTTCCGCAAGACATAAATTAACCACATATCAGCGGTTAATACTATAATATAGTTGTTTCTGTACGAGAAAGGTAAATGTATGGTCTACTTGATGTTAGGTCTGTAAAAATTAATAATTAGGTAATTTTAAATTCGTGAAATTTGTTTGTTACCGTATAGTGGCGGTGCAAGAATATCAGCGAGCAGCGACTTCCTAATAACGGCTAAAATAAGAAACTGCGGTTGCCAAACCGCCTGCCAAGCGTGGCAACCATGGCAAACATTCCCCCTATTAGACAATCTATGGGGGAGGCCTAAGTTCAGTAGTGGACTTTAGTAGGCTATAAAGCTTAACGGTTAAAATTAGTTTTATTTAAGGTATAATTTGGCGTTATTAATGTTACTCAATGTGTAGGAAATCATTATATAATGAGCATAATATTAATTCAAGATTTTTTTATTTGCAGGTGTGAGTGACAATGTGTGAGCGGTGAGAAGAAATAACGCGCCATGTTGCGCGTAATCGCCTTACTAGTGGTGGCCGCGGTGGCCGAGCACGACCGCGAGTTCACTGTGCGGGAGAACGCTCGGGCTGGCACTCTTGTTGGTAATCTTGGCGATGAACTACTTGATGCCGCACCTCCATATACTATAGTGCCAGTCCAAGGCAGTGCTGTCAATGACGATCTTAAAATAGACCCTCATACGGGAGAAATAAGGACTCGAGTACCTCTTGATCGAGAGAATAGAGACCATTATGCTCTCGTAGCTATACCCGCCAGTGGTGATAATATCCGAGTCGTTATCCGAGTCTCTGATGAGAACGACAATGCTCCAACTTTTCCTACACCCGTTATGAACGTTGAGTTTTCTGAGAATACACCTAGAGACGTTAAAAGAAAACTTAACCCAGCTAGGGATCAGGATTTAGGTATATTTAATACACAAAGGTATAACATAGTGTCCGGTAATACGGAAAACGCGTATAGGCTCTCCTCACATAGGGAGTTAGATGGTGTTCTATATTTAGACCTTCAAATAAATGGATTTCTTGATAGGGAAACCACAGACCACTATGAATTGGTTATAGAAGCATTAGACGGTGGCACACCACCTCTAAGGGGAACTATGACTGTAAATATAACAATTTTAGATGTAAATGACAATCCCCCAGTGTTCGCTGAAAGTGCATATTCTGCAACAATACCGGAAAATGCCACTATTGGAACCACCGTTTTGAAAGTTTCAGCAACTGATTCCGATGCTGGAGAAAACGGATTAATCGAATACTCAATTAATAGAAGACAAAGTGACAAAGAGAATATGTTTAAAATAGACCCAGAAACGGGGGAGATTACTGTTAATAAGGCTTTGGATTTTGAAACCAAAGAATTACACGAACTTGTCGTTGTCGCTAGAGACAAAGGTGCACAAACATTAGAAACGACGGCGTTCGTGTCTATTCGGGTTACAGACGTTAATGATAATCAGCCTACAATAGACGTGATATTTTTAAGTGATGATGCAACTCCAAAAATATCTGAATCCGCGCAGTTAGATGAGTTTGTTGCTAGAATATCTGTGCACGATCCAGATTCTAAAACGGAATACGCAAATGTTAATGTTACTTTGAGTGGTGGTGATGGACATTTCGATTTGCGGACGCATGATAATATCATCTATTTAGTTGTAGTTGCGTTGCCGTTGGATAGAGAAACTAGATCTACCTATACTTTAAGTGTAGTTGCTACCGATAAGGGTTCGCCTCCATTACACGCGTCGCGAAACATCAGTCTTCGGGTGACCGACGTAAACGACAATCCTCCAGTATTCCTTGAGAGTGTGTATAAAAATAGTGTTCCTGAAGCTGCAGCGCCTGGTACGCCCGTCGTACAGGTATCTGCATCTGATGCAGATGAGGGGGAGAATTCCGAAATTCGGTATTCATTATTGCCAACACCCCAATCGGAATGGTTTGCAATTGATGAGCGTTCTGGATTAGTGACAACGCGTGCTCGGGTAGATTGTGAAACGAATCCCATGCCAAAATTAACAGTGGTGGCTACTGACCGCGGCTCACCTCCTTTGTCATCAACTGCTACTTTGCTAGTGACCGTTTTGGATGTGAACGACAACGAGCCTATCTTCGACCAGTCTTTCTACAACGTCACCGTATCCGAGAGCGAAGCCGTCGGCAGCTGCATTTTAAAGGTATGTTTTTGTTCTAAATTCAAGGATCATAGTTAAATTCTTTTTAAGCTGATCCATCGATTTTTAAATAGTTACTATTGTGAATAATACAAATAATTCTTGTCAAAGTTTCTGCGCTTGTGAACTTGTAAGGTGTTAGCGCATTTGCAATTGTAATAGGGACTTGGAACGGCCTTTGGCTGGCTAAAGATGCGACGCGGTGATATGTCTCTAAAGTTATTGTATCATTCTCTTCAACGTGCTTATTTGTATTAATCCTTTTTAGGATATGGTGTTTATATATATAATTAAAATATTGAATTTGATAAACATGAGTGCAAAAGAAAACTTTTAAAGAAATTTTAACGTTAACAATAATTTACCACAATAAAATTAGTATATTTTAACTGCTCTCGCGTTCATTGCTTTCACGATCAAAGTAATGTTTTCATGCTGTTGAAATTTATGCGAGGCGATGCAATTTTAAAATCGATTTCAAGTGAAACTGTCAGGGTAAATAAGTCGAAATTGACTTGAGAGAAAGTTGCTATTTTGCGTGTGTGGACGTAATTTAAGTTATTTTATTAAACCGCTGCGAGGCCCCGAGATAGTGTCGGCAGAATGTCAGAACGAGTTGTTCGAAATGACAAATCTGACGATTGATTATGTGTGATTGTTAAAACACTTCTTATTTCATAATTGACAGCTGTTGATAAGGAAATTCCGTTTACAATTGATTGATTTAGAAATAATTAAAGAAATTTCAATGATTAAACTTTGCATTTTTGTTTACATTTTCGTCAAATATATTGTATAATTTTTACCGAATTAAGAAAAAAATCTGATATAATTCCATCCATATCATTTCGATAGTTAGTTCTCCACTACCGTCTGTTTTACGAGAAATGTTCTGTCACGCACGATCACATTATGGAATTTACTATCACCAGAGGTTTAGAACGATACAATCTAGGCACCTTCACGAGAAGAGCCCGCTACTTTCTAAAAGGCCGGCAACGCACCTGCAGTAACGTTGGTGTTGCAAGTGTTCATATGCAGTAGGGATCACTCACCAGCAGATTAACTTATTCGGTATATATGAAAAATATACTATCAGCTATTTTTAAACAATCTGTATGAAAATGTAGATTGAAATATATTAATAATCAATCGGTGACAGAAAGGCGTCGAGTGGTGGTGTGATAAAATTTATCACTCCTTTTTGGACTAGTAGGTTTCAGAGGATGTAAGAAGCGAATATGAGAAAGGAAAAGAATTCTTCATGCCCACTAATATAGTCTTATCTCTTATTTACCAGGCGAGAAAAAAGCTAATCGGCAATACGTGCGAGACAACTGGTGCCGCTGGCCAGGCCTTTATACCCCCAAAGCCAGCAAATATAATAAACAGTACTAAAAATGTCAGATATTAGATCTGAATTATTGTAATTAATTTTATCCACACGCGTATTTGTAATAATTAGTTGCTAAAAAACTAATTTACTGGGTCCGTTACAATAATCGTTATCTCCGTACTGCGTTTAATAACGGTTAAACAAGCACATAATGCGAAAATGAACAACACCAATTAGTCACGTGGGACAGATCAATTCTCACTATCTTCATCGGAGCGCGCCACCACGCCCGCTCCTGACGAATTTGTCGATGGACAAACAAAAAAAAAACCAGCACAATTTTCATTACCCTTATCTGTTGAATCCGACTCACTCATAACTTACACGAGTTAATTTCTTATAATATATTCAGTCGATATAGTACTATGTAGTAAGTGAGTGCATAAATCTATCGCGCGGGTGATGCCAGTTTGGGCGTGCGTTGAACACATCGCAAATTGCGATCTAAATTGAAAATTAAACAGTGCTCGATGCTCGGGGCGCCCGGACTTTCGGTCGCGTTCGGAAATGCATTTTATCGGCGTATTGTAAACGAATTAGCAAAGGAAATTAAGGAATGAATTAGCTTAAACGATTTTTATTACTTTGCGTATATTACCGAGTATTATCTATATATATATATATATATATATATATATATATATATATATATATATCTGCTTCCTTTTGACATCGATTTTGAGTGAGTACTTACTTATGAGATATTTTTCACTAGTAACTCGTTCAGATCAAGTAATTATAAAGTTTTACACAGACAAACGCTGATACTTTTAAATTTTTTTGCAAATAGTCCCAGAATAGAACATACATATAATTGCGCATGATTTGTAATTAACAAATTTAAAAAGTAAATTACACAATAATACTAAATGTAATTATAAGAACATAATAATCTATCTATGACATTTATTATTAGTTGTAGATTAATCATTTCTCTTAATCTTAATATAGACTTAATTAAAGGAAAAAAATAAGATAAAATTAGAGACGGTGCTTAATCCTAAATATGGAGGTTTCCCACATATCCAGTTTCAAGACGCACTCAACCAGGTTTCTAGTAATACTTACTACTTATCATAAAAAGAAAAAAGTACACAAACGTACTTTTTATATATATTTAACAACACATACTGAAATCTTTTAAATATAGATACAGTGGTCTCTAGGGATCTCTAGGGAACATACGAGTGTATTGAAATTGAACTCCCGAAATTGTAAAATGTAACAAAGCCCAAATAGAAAAATCTAAAACATCTTGTATTGCTAACAATGGTCGTAGCAAACTTATAAACGTTGTTTTTTTTACAGTATGATAAGACGGGTCACGATCGTATAAGTTAAGATAGTACTCCAGGACACGTACTACGTGCATAGGTTCTTGCCTTCGGGATTGGCAATGACTACTAATGCCATGTTTTGTTCCGCGAATCCAATACTAATGTGTACAGTGTTTATTAAATGTGATGTTATTAGTTTCATTTTATGTGTAGTTTTCTCTTGTTCACATAATGATGGGAGAAGGCTATGTTTAGCGGTTGGCTTTTGAATTGGGTGTGATGATGATGATGATGAAAAATAATAATAAGATCAAATGCATTCTACAGATGCGATCCCTGATATTAACTGTAATAATTTCCACGTAGTAAGGTGGAATTAGCACTCTTTATTGGACTCAAAGTGTTATGCTTTGCTAACGGAAAAGGGTACTCAAGGAACTGACAAACAGCTCGCTATAATCTGATTATTGCAATGCCTTATAACGATAGCCAGATAATTGCTTTAGATATTCTGTAATCATGGTAAATTAGATATTATATAATCACGGTAAAGTGTGGTTAATTCACTGTCCATCACAATTTTTTAATCTATTAAATCGTATTATTTACACTTTAATATTGATAGCATAGATAATATTCAGTGAAATTATGTAAGGTAAAACATTTTTCCTTTCGGTATTTGGTAATACACCTAACAAAAATATGGTTAGAGACCAGTGGTACAATATACTCGACTACATAAATAGCTCTTAAAGAATTATATTTTATTTTATAGCCTAAAAATGACAAACGAGCACACAGTCCACCTGATGGTAAGTGATATCCACTTTGTTGTGGCCTATAAACATCTACATCCTCAATTAATAATCAAAATAAATTTTTGATTATTACTTGAGGATGTAGATGTTTATAGGACCTTGTCATCCCTGAGGACTGAGATTTAATGCATCGTTCCCAGTAAAAAGATTCTCCGGTTCTCTACACTCACCATACAAAACATTAAGCTGCTATTTTACGCTGGTATTCTGTGAGAGCGTGGCCCCACCTCGGTCGAGTCGACCCATTAGTGATACAACAATACAGCCGCAATCAAAAAATCAAAAACAATATAGCCGCATCGTGGCTCTATCACGTAAAAGAAAGTGTACCACGTAAAGTAGTGCTGAAGTTTATGATGATGACGCTTAGAAAATACAGCGTTTGTTTTTTCTGTAGAGGTGAGAAACAAGCATACAGTCTACCTGATCAATAGAGAATACTGTGGCCAATAGACACCTACATCTACTGTCGATTATAAATTAAATAGCAGATGGGTTGTAATTCTTGAGAACTAAGATGGAATATCTCCTTACCAGTAAAAAGAGTCTCCTGTTTTCGTCATTACATTTGAAATGCAGCAGCATTATGCTGCAATTTCACGCAGATCCTGTGCGAGCGTAGTTCTTCCCCGGTTGAGCCGACTTATTCATGCTGCAGCGTTGTTATTAAAATCAATGGTTGTTATGTTATGAATACGGTTAAGTATGTTAACCTCTCTTACCTCCTCTGGGTTTGTCATATGACCAGCAACGGATTCTATGGCCTTGAACAGGAGTATACACTATGTTTAAAATTTAATAAAATTTATGACATAAATACTGCAATTTAAAATAAAATAAAAACTTCTTAAATTTAGAAGCTTTTGATTAGGTACTGTAATTTTTCAAAGCCTTGCTCAGGAGACAGGAATGTGCAGAATGTGCACATGCTTTTGGAGTTTGGAATTATATTACACCCCCAAATTACCTAAGCTATTATGAATTTTAAAATATTGTTAGTTGTGCTGTGTGGCGGTACCACAAATAAGTATCTTTCTCACTAAATTTTTTAGAATTCTCGTAAAAAAAAAACAGAAATCGATTTATTGCTTACGTATCATAAAAGTAATTTCAAAATGAGCATCTTTATACTAATTTAGAAAAAAGATGGCACGCAGGTGAAATAGCAGGTTTAAATTTGTACCCAATAACCTGATAAGACAAGCCGGCCATTTTGAATTCCGCCTTAACCGCGTTGTCATGGTTACCGCTTGATCGCGTGCGTAGGCGCATCTCCACTGACATTTTTGTTTCAAGCCGCCATCGGTGTTGCAAGTTGTAAATTTCCCATTTAATATCGACGTTAATGTGCGTAATAATTAAGTCTCAGGATAATGTATTTCCATTTAATACGGTACCATTTTAACTTCGGTAGGTACTTTAAAATATATGAATTCATTTAAAATATAAGATTCAGGTCTAATGGTCGTGAATTAATAGGCGGTGCTTTTTGGAGCGTATATCGTATATCCATCAATGCTAATTATCATAAAGACAAATTTATATTGA